CACTCTCCTAAGAGCCACCTTTAGACTTCACCCCACAGGTCCCTGACAGGCCCCTGCAACTATTTGTTCTCATAGGAAAATGGGAGAATTTTTTTCCTTATTTATGCAAAGTATAGGCAAGAAGAGATGCACCTTAACAGCTCCCCGTGACAGCAGCTTGGGGATTTGAGCTGCCTGCTGGCCCAATGAATCAGCCTCAAGCTGCTGCCAGAGGCTCCTACATCTGCAGCGGGTGGCAGCTCAGGTCCTGGGAAGCCAGGCGCCTGCCTTGCATTCCACCAGATGAGCTCATGCTGGACTCTGGCCCGCCTGGGACTAAACCCAATGCCCTGTGTATCACTCTAGGCACCTTGAACCCTGCACTGGCTGCAGCAGTGGGAAGGACAGGGAGGGAGGGATAGCACTGTGGGCCACCGAGCAGATTTATTTGTGCTACACTAAAACATGCTGCCTGGCAGGAGGGCGGCTGGAGCTGGTGACAGGGTAAAGTGAGGCACAATGGATAGTAGAGTATGGGGGCTAAAACCAGTGGGACACAACAGGAGGACTCAGCAAAGGTAGTGCATAAACAAATGAAAGCTCAGAATCCTTACCCAGGAGACCCCAGAGGCTCAAAATGAGCCACAACTCGTGTCACATGAATAGCAATCAGGACAAAGGAGCCTGGTGTTTGGCAAGGAGTAGGTCAATGTCTGGAGGGTCAGAGGCTGTGGTTTGCCTTAGAGGAAGAAGAGTTACAGTGTGGGGTGAGGAGGATGAGGACCTCGGGGTATGGGTTCCAGCTCACCATGAGGAGTATGAGAAAGGCCAGGCCAGGAGACAGCTATTTCCCCCAAGGAGAAAGGGCATCGGGAAGCAGGAGTTCCCAGTCCTGGTGATGCTCCAGGAAGGGCCCAGCAACTGCCTAGTGGATGTGGCAGAGAGGAGCTGCTCTCCTCTGCAAGGCTGCCAAGGTCTCAGTCAGTTATGTGCCATTCAAATGCATAGACTCCAAAACACAAGACAAGTGGGCTTATGGAGCAAGGACCTCCTTGGGGAGGATGAGCTGAATTTCTCATTGTCCTGAAGCCTTCTCGAAGCATACGAAGGAATTATAAATAGCATGATTAGCAGTGTACTTTTCTCCATGAAATTCTCCTGAGGACTGCCTCTTGCAGATCAATTCCTGTGCCGTGTCTAGACCTGGAGAGCAGGTCTACTGCTTCCAAAGCCAAAAGGGTGCTGGCTTCTCAAGAAACTCCTTCACAGCCCCTGTGGGTCAGGAGATGCTGGAAGTGCTCACGATCCTTTGCCAGGGAAACAGGAAAAGGGACAGTGATAAATTAAAACAGGAACTCGCCTGCATTTTAAGGGGTGAGAGAGAAGTAATTCCTGTCTGTACAACTAAATCTCTTGTTGCTACAGAGGTGTTGGGGACAAGAGAAGGAAAACTCAGCTCTAAAGTCTGGCCACTGCTCTTCTCTACCCTATCACAGGGTGGCCCCAAGAGGACAAGGGAGAATGGGCAGAGAATGCCAGCCTCTGGATGATCTGGAGCCTACAGGAGGAAAAGGAAACTCTCTCTCTCTTTCTCTCTCTCTCTCTCCCTCTCTCTCTCTCCCTCTCTCTCACTCTCTCTCACTCTCTCACTCTCTCTCTCACTCTCTCTCACTCTCTCTCTCCTGCATTTGTGTGAGTGGTACAGGTGTGAGTGGGTGTGCATTGCACATGCATGATGCATATGTGGAGGTCAGAGGATAACCTCAGGTGTCACTCACCTTCTGTTGAGGACAGAGTCTCTCATTGGACTAGAACTTTGCCAGACTCACTAGCTGGCCCACAACTGCCAGGGATCTGCCTGTCTCTGCCTCCCATTTCATCATTACTGAGATTCTAGGTATGTCACTATGCTCAGCTTTTACATGGGTCCTGGGGATCCAAACTCAGGCCCTCACATTTGTGAAGCAAGTACCTAGGGCCTCACAAATGCTAGACAAACACTCTAAAGACCGAGCTAAATCCCCAGTCTAGAATTACATTTTAAAAACTTTATTATTTTTTATGTGTATGAGTGTAAGTGCACCCTGTCATGCAGTGCCTGAGGAGGTTAGAAAAGGGCATTGGATCCCCTGGAACTGGAGTTACAGATGGTTGTTAGCTGCCATGTGGGTGCTGAGAACTGAACCCAGATTCTCTGCAAGAGCAGTCAGTGCCCTTAACCACTCTCCAGCCCCACTTCTCCCTCTTGAATGCTGGACTAGAGACTTGCACCACCGTGTCTGGCGGGAATTACTCTTTTTAATAAGCAAGGGAAAGTGGGTGCCTAGAGCCAGCTTAGGAGAGGGGTGAAAATTTTCAGAAGGGAGAAAGAGGCAGCAGACCTCAGCAGCTGCATAGGCCACACACCTTCAGCACCCCAAGTGCTGCCCTTCTGTTTGTAGTAACTGGTACTCCAGATAGGGAAGAAATTGGGGTGCTGCTCAGCATAGGGGGCAGGGAAGTAGGAAAGAGCTACCCACCTAAGGGGCCATGAAAAGAAGCCCAGGAACCTCTGAGACCCACCCCAGTGTTTGAAAGACCCTCACTTCCAACATATTTGGAATAAGAGTTCAAGCCATTAAAAAATATGGAACCCAGGGGCCTTTCCTGAGTCTGGGTACCCCAGAATTGCCAGGGCTACCAAAATGGAGCTAGCCCACTTACCTTCAATGATGTCCCCTCTCCAGACATCTTTCTGACTAGCTTCAAATCCTTCTCCTAGCTGAGGAGCATCCCAGCATCCTTGGCCTTCAGGACCCTAAGCTGAGCTCACACTCATGGACCAAGTGTGACAGCCAAGGTAGGACTGAGCTGGGGGTGGGTGGGTAGGTGGCTGGGGCTATGGAGATGTAGCCCTGAGGAGGGAAGAGGGTCCATATGTGGATCCGTCATCACAGGTGACTGTGAGTTGGTGCTGGGGGTACCCTTCACTCCCATGCTGATAACGGTCCTGGAGCCCAGCAAGAGTCACTTCCTTCCCCAAGTCACCCAGCAGTAACCCCTGGGCTTGAGGTCCAGTCACAAAGCTGTGGGTAGATATTTATCCCAGAGGCCCAGCAGCCAGTTTCAGAGAATGTTGCAGGGGAAGGAGTGGTGCGGCCCTGGGCATGTGACACACAGGTGGATGCCCAGAAGCTTAAGCGCAGTTAGAACATCCCCAGCTTCTTTATTTCCCTGCTATTAAATGCTCAGCAGGACATTGTTTCTGCCATTCCAATGAGCTGTTTGGATGAGCTCAATGGATCCAGCCGCATAACCCACCTTCAGGGCTTCTAGAAGCCTATCACTGCGGCCTGGAAGGGCCTTCACAGCCTCTCTGATGCCCCCTCACTGATGGAAACTGAGGCAGGGTTTCAGCATCATGCTGGGTTCTTGCACACTCCCCTACCCCAGGAAATCCAATCACCTATTCCCAGTTCAGGGCCAGGCAGAAAAAAAACATGGCTATGACCTGTGCTGGGTATGGCCATTTCCTAACAGAATACATACAAAGTGACACTGTATAGCATAGACACCTGAACTGAAGAGGCCTCCAAAGTTAAGATACCACCAAGTCCGGACACCAGTAGGCAACATGTTGCTATACCTATCTCTAGGTTGTCATGAAGGTTTCTAGGGTCTGTCTGCAACAGCAGTCTGGGAACTAATGGGTGACACCTTGGGAGTTGGGCTTCCTGCTCAGGAAATTCATATCCTCTCCCAGCCCACCCCCACTGATGTCCTCAACAGGGCATGGTTGTAGGGAGAGAAGCCTGGCCCCAAGAACATCTGGTTTCCTAAGCAGGGCCTACTGCCCTAAGGTCTCCCTTGGCTGCACTCACAGAGGCAGGAAGGATTGGTCTTGGGTAGAGCTGGGGAGACCAAGTAGGGGCATGGAGGCTGGGCCTGGAGTCCAGCTCCATCTAGACCTAGGACAGAAGGGTGGGATGAGCCTGGAGCATGAGAGGTCTCAGACATCAGGACACCCAAAGAGCTGGCAGGTCAAAGGAAGAAAACTGTCCTATTCCAGCTATCCAAGAGGCATGATATGTATGTGCCCAGCCTAGGAGAACAGATCTAGAAACAGCTTCTGCATGGGGCCTACCTCCAAGGAGAATATCATGAAACTCTCCCTGAAAAGCAGCCCCGAGCTGGGCTCGGTGCCCAGGACTTTTCCAATACCTCAGAATCCTGTGTGACCACCACAGACTGGTAAGAAGAGCTACTGTTCCGCCTAGACTCCTGAGGGGTCCTTCTCAGATCCAGCCCGCTCCTCAGGGCCACATGTTGGTATAGCCCAGACTCAGATAAGAAGGACTTTTAAAATGTCACTCAAGGCTGGGAACACTGTTCAGACATCCTCTGAGCATGCCAACAGGAGCTGGGCTAGCAGGAGACTTAACTCACCGCTGTGGTGGGATGGAGACAGGGCCCCCGAAGAAAACCAGGCCTTGGAGGAAGAGCAGGTCCCTGCTGATGCCACAGACGCCAAGAATCTCAGGGTACTCACAACATGACTCCACTGTCTTGTTGCTGCCCTCCACAACCAGGCAACACCAGGCGGGCAGCTGTGTCCAGCCCAGGCTATACTTCATACTCCCCTCCTACCAGCAGCTATGCATGGAGCCCCTCAGCTAATGGACCCCAAGCTGCAGGAGCTCAGATGCTCTAGGTGCTGTCCCCAAGTCCATGGAACCTGGGGCCACCTTCCCAGAGGAGAAACAAGGCTTAGCTGGGACACTGCAAGCAAATCCCTGCAGCACCCAAAAAAGGCAGGCCAGCAGGCCAGAGGGCTGGACTGGGAAAGTCTGGAAGGAAGCTCCCACATGGCTGTGGGAAACAGGAAGAAAGGGAAGTCTGGGAAGAGAGAAAGCAGTAGTTGATAGAGTAGTGTCCAAACCAGAGTAACCAGAGGTCCTCTACAGGGTCCCAGTTACGCTGCTGGCCCGGGTCTCCCACCCAGAGGGACCCTCCAGCCCCACTTGCTCCGAAGCCAAGGTGACAGTACAGCAGCTTTATTGACCAGACTTATCAGCAAGAACACATCAGTGGGGCCTGAACATCTGGCCTGCTGGGGGTCCAGCTCCCTAGAGCCAGGACTGGGGACCTTAATGTCTCCCCCTCCAGGACCCCCAGAAGCCAGCCCACCCCTGCTCCAGGCCCTTGAAGTGAGGGACTGCAGGGGACAGGAGGATGGTCACAGAAAGACTGGAAAGTAGGAAGGCTTGGAGCAGGGCAGCATGAGGTTCGTGCTGCCCAGGCAGCTGGTGTAGGTGATCCGTGCAGGGCAGTGGGGGCGTGCAAGCGGGCAGGCAGATGGCCAGGCTCACCACACAGAGCATTTGTGGACAGGGTTCATGGGTGAGTCCTTGGGACAATGGAAGGCCCGGCCGAACTCCTCAAACTGGGACACGCTGCCCAGGACCCTGGGGTGTAGGAGACCTCAGTAATGTGGACCTTAGTGGCCGTCCCACCACTGCTGCTAGGGCTGACCTCTATCCCTTCTTGCCTCCCACGAAGACACAAGGAGGGGACTGCCCAGGAAGGCAGGTGGCATACCGGTAGTGCTCCGGTGCATGCTTGTCCGTCAGCACCTGCAGGTAGATGGACTGCGACCGTCGCTTGATGCACCAGTTCTGGACCCCCAGCAGGCAGAGCGGAGAAGTAGAGATGCAGTGAGGTGTCTACTGCCTATCTTCCCCCAATCCCCTGTGCTAAGCCCCAGCAGAACTCATGGGCCATCACCTCTGAGAGTTCAGGTGACAGAAGACAGTCGAACCTCAGGGATGGTCACTTGAGGCCTGAGCAAGGCTGAGCCTGAGCCTGGAAACTGTGCCTCCTACCCAGCCCCACCCCAACCCCTGCCAGGTCTCCATCCAGCCCACCTGGGCAAAGGCAATAAAGAAGAGCTGGTTATGTGTGTACTTGAGCCGATGTAGCGGGTGCTCTGGGCCGTGCTCCCGGACCCACTTCTGATAGGCCTGAGGGTGCAGAGAGCAGGGAGCTGCTGTGACCACCATGCTGCATACTGCCTTCTCCATCCTCCACTCAGCCAGCCCCTCCCAAGATACTGAGCCCAGGGAAAGACCCGTCTCAGCTCTATATCACCCACTATACTGTGTTCCCTGCCTGGCTACCCTTCTGCTGTGGCAGGTTGACTCCAAGCCAGGGCCACTGCCTCCAGGCAGGCTTCCCTGCTCTCCCTAGGGAAGGTGGTTTCTGTGACTCCTTCTTTTTCCAGAGGACCTCAGCCCAGGCCAGAGCTCAGCAAGATGGGCAGGGAAGTGCCATGTCCCTAGTCTGGGGTTCTCATCAGCTCCCACCTGTCCCCCAGCAAAGACAGAGGGCAGGCTAGGTGGCTCACATAGTAGGCCAGCTTGAGGCCACCCATGTCTGCGATGTTCTCGCCAAGCGTGTGTTTCCCGTTCACCTGCCAGAAAGGAAGAGGCAGGGGCTGCAGAAGGCCTGCAGGCGTCCCACAGACCTGGCTATCCTGGACCCCGCCCCTCCCCAGCCTCCCCTCCTTCCCCTTCCCAGAGATTTTGGGAGCAGCCTTCTACTTACTTCCCAAATGTGTACCATGTTGAGTCTGCATGAACTGTGTGCCCATGTGTGTACGTGGAACCCAGAGCATGAATACAGGTACCTTATTTGGACACATGTGTGTACACGTAAGCATGCATGCTTACTGTCAGTGTCTAGCCAAAGGGGCACAAAAGCCAAGGTGAGGGATCTCTCACCCGCTGGTTGTAGACAGTGAAGTTGTCATATAGACGGACAATGCACTCAGCCTTGCGCAGGAAGCGGCTGTAGGAGGCCTCTGTCCACCAGTGCAACAGGTTCCCTGAGCGGTCATACTGGCCCCCTGTGGCAGCAGCCCAGCATGCAAGCAAGTCAAGGCTGAGCCTCATCCCAAGGCCAGACTGGGCATGATGCTCGTCCTCTCCCACCAGCCACCTCCTCCCACCAGCCCATCCCCCTCAAGCCTCCCACTACCTGTCATCCCCCTCCCCTAGAACCCTCTCAGACCTTACCCCAGTCATCATAGCCGTGGGTCAGCTCATGCCCGATGATGGTGCCAATGCCCCCGTAGTTCAGAGACCTGGACCCACAGCAGCAGGTCAGGCTCTAGCCCTCATGTGTCCTCTGAGAGCCCCACACTGCTGCCCAGGCCCCTAGAGCCCCCAGGAAGGTGGTCAGAGAGGCCTCAGAGGCATCTCCAAGGTCCTGGGCATGTGGCCCTCAGTTTCCTCACAGACTCCATGAAAGGAGCCAATGACACCTGTCTAGCTGCCTTTACAAAATAATGTCTTGCAAAGGTGGTGGGGGCTGTGAGTTTGGAAAAACAGGAAGGAAACTGAGGAACTCACATGGGAATTTGGCCTCATTCCTCATCACTAGGGTCCTCTACTTTTGAAACACCTAAATAGGCCTAAAATGGGTAAGGGGGTGTCCTAGCTAGCATTAGCTATCAAATTGACACAGCCTAGAGTCATCTGAGGGAGCCACAACTGAGGGATTTCCCAGATCATATTGGCCTGTGGCCATGTCTGTAAGAGATTCTTGATTGGTGATTGATGAGCCCATCTCACTCTGGGTGGCACCATCCCTAGGTGGGTGGGCCTGGGATGCTTAAGAAAGCTAGCTGAGGATGAGCCAGAAAGTGAGCTGGCAAGTAGCTTCAAGTTCCTGCTTAAGTTCCTGCCTTGACTTCCCTCAGTGATAGACTGTGACCTGGAAGTGTAAGACTGATTTCCTCCCTGATTTCCAGAGCTGTCTTTGGTCAGAATGTTTTATCACAGCAACACAGATCAAACTGGAACAAGGGGGTATCCAAGAACTTATATAAAAAGTATACCTATACATTCTTCTAAATAGCCAAGGATGAACTGGGACTACAGGAACCCAGGGTCTTCAGATGAAATGACTCAGTTCCCCACCCCAACCTGCCACCTGGAACAAGGGGGTATCCAAGAACTTATATAAAAAAATATACCTACAAATTCTTCTAAATAACCAAGGATGAACTGGGACTACAGGGACCCAGGGTCTGCAGATGAAATGACTCAGTTCCCCACCCCAACCTGCCACCTGTAGATAGGGCTGATGGGCCCAGCTTAAGTTCCCTACTCACTGTGGAAAGTCGGGGTCATACAGAGTGGGCTGCAGGATGCCAGCTGGGAAAACTAAGAGGACCAAGAGGTCAGTGGGAGATACACATCTTTCCAGGCCCACCCCCTGGTCAGGACACACCACCTTACCCATCTGGTTCTTGTTGGGTAGATAGTAGGCATTGAGTGCCTGTGGAGGGAGCAGCCAGCTGTGGAAGAAGGCTATGTCACCTCCATGAGGCTCACATCTTAGCATCCTTAAAGATGGTCCTGACATCACAGCTAGCTTCTGACAGTGCATCCTCTGGGCCACCCCAGGGCTGGGCTACCACCTTACTCTCTGCACCCATGCTCTATACAGGACCATGCACCTAGCACATCAGCATGGCTCCTGGTCTTGGGAAGGAGCCCTCCCTCTCTCTCCTTATGGCCCTCCTTAACCGTAGCTCAGGACCAGGCACCCACGTGGACTTGTCCACCTCCTGTCGAATCTTCTTGACAGACAGCTGAATGCTGAAGCGGATGCTGTTCAAGATGTTCTTGAAGTACGTCTTCTCATGGACCTCAAACTGCACGGAGAAGGGATGGGCAGTGCTCAGCAGCAGGCTGGGGTAAGGCAAGGTCACTTGCTGAGGACCCATAATTTCTCCTCCAGGCCTGGTGGTGGGCTTCCCTGGGGTCTGGAGGCAGGGCAATCCAGCCTACCTCATACTCCTTGTCCACAGCCTCAGGTTTGAGCAGGAAGTCTGGGTAGCCAACCATGACCATCATGTACTGGAGCTGTAGGTAAGAGGGCACAGAGTGGCCCAGGGCCTCAGGAGACAACCTCTCACAGCCAAAAGAGGGAGCTCTAGGCCAGCCTGGATCTGAGGCCAAGGTAGAGCAGAAGAGACAAGTGTTGTAATTCCACGAAGGCATCTTTGCCTCTTCTCTCTTGTTATTCTCAGTACCTGGTACCCAGGAGGGTACCACAGTTTTTGTGGACAACTGAGACTCGGATCCCATCTCACCTTGGCCTGAGCAGCTGCTTTGGTCTGGGCGTCCATCCAGTCCAGCTCCTCCAGGCGCTGGCCCAAGATGTACTTGATGTCTTCCACCAGCTGCTGCACCTGCCAGATTAGGATTCAGAGATCACTGGTCAACTAAGGAAGCTGTAGACCTGGTTCCCAGCACCTGGCACTAAGAGAATTCCCATCATCCAGTACCACTTCTTCAGCACAGGGTACCATGCTGAGCACCGAGGAGAATTAAGGAGCTAGGGATCCGTACCCAGAACCCTGACACTAAGCCCCCAGCCTGGAAGAGAAGTTATCCCAGCCTCCTGAGCATCTCTGAAAAGGACCTACAGGGGAGAGGCAGAGCAGACCACATGCAGCTGACAGCATACAGGCTTCACAGGGGAGAAAAGGCCCAGGGAGGAGCATCCTGGAGCCTCAGAGCCAGCTAAGCCCTAAGCCCAACCTGGGCACCAAACCACATGGAGATATATGGGGTCTCCCATCCTTCACATCAAGTTCAGAACCTGCACCCCCACCCTACACCCAGGGCAGCCTGACCTTGGCTTTGCTGGCAGCTGAGAAGTGCTCATGTACAAAGAGGGCGCCAAGAGCCATGCCAAAGTGGCGATTGGCCTGGCCCAGGCAGACTCGGGCCAACTCCTGGGGTTTATCATTGCCCTCCATCTCTCGGGCCAGCTCATGCAGTGCCTCACGGAATGGTGGGGACAGATGCTCGCTCAGAACCACCACCACACGCCACACCAAGTAGTTGTGTAGGATCCTGGAGGCCAAGTGAAGCAGAGGGTTGTCCAGGCAGACATGCAGGTAGGTCACCCCAGGCCTCCCCACCCATGTTCCCATGCTAAAGTAGGAATCAGTACCCACCCTGAACCACTAGGAAGGGAACAGAAATCAATTCAGGTGTGTAGTGATCAACTTGAGGTGTCCTGAGCCCCAGTTACACAGCAGCATGTGGTCTGACTACCAACAAGAGTCCTTAACCCTGAACCTGATGGGCTGGCATTGTTTTCCACTTCCCTACGGAGTGTGCTCTGGGGCACTCAGAGATGGTGCCTTGATGGCTTTCTCTTCTCCCCTAGATGAGCAGAGACAGGCAGGCTCTCCCCAGACTCTTCTCCATGATGACATCCAGACTCTACCTCGCCATCCCACGGGAGGAGAGGGCAGCTAAAGAAGTGCCCAGCCTACCCAGGCTTCCACAGGGGAGGAGCCAGCACCAGCACATGACCTAGGGATCTGCATTCCTGTTCCTATGCTCCCACCTGCCTCCCCCAGTGTGGCTTCTGCAGAGATGGGCATTCAAAGTTCACCAAGCAGACAGATCTAGGGTGCTGATGGAGGGGCCCCGAAGCAAGGAGAATGGAGTGCAGGGGGTGGGCGACCTGCAGCCTCACCTACGGGGTGTGGAGCGGATGAGCTGGGACACCTGCTGCATGTAGTCTGTGGCCAGCAGTACCACCTCCTCATCCTCAGAGAAGTCCTCCTGGAAGATCTGGTCCAGCAACCACTTCCACCGCAGCTGTGGGGCAGAGGATAGAGCCACAGACAGCAAGGGGTCAGGGAGAGGCAACGAGAGCACATGGGCATCAAGGGGTATGGACATATCTGAAGAAGGTGACCTGGAGTCCCCAGACCCTCCCCCATCACCTGCTCACCAAGTCTGAGCAACACTCACGTGAGGGGTGATCTTCTGCAGCTGCCCCAGAGTCACTTTGTTGTACATGGAACTGACGTCTCTTCGGAGATCATCATACTCTGACATGGAGATCTGGGGTGGAGAGTAGCTTGACCAGCCCTGGTCCATCGCCCTGTCCCAGCCCTGGCAGCCCCCAGCCCCTGCTGCTCACATTGGCCAACCGCTGCTCCAACTGCAGGATCTCCTGGGCCTTCTGCTCCACAGCCTCTGCCCCCAACAGGCTGAGTAGACGCTCCATGAACACCCTGTATGCAGCCAGGACCTGCACCAGGACAGGGGTTCTTCAATGGAGAGGGGACACGTACACCTGGGACCAACCTTTCTGGGGCCCCCATCCTACCCTACAGCCCCATCTCATACCCAGGTACCTTCTCACTCTCCTCATCCTGAGCAAGGTACAAGGTTCTCTCTGGCAATGTGAGTCCATCCTGATCAATCTGGGGAGGGAAAGAGGGGCCCCAGGCCAGAAGTGAATGTTCAGTTTCCCAGAGTTCACACTCAAATGCCACAAAAGAGAGAGCATGCCAGACATTACCATCATCACAAGCCCCAAGAATACGAAGACTAATCCCCAGATCCATCCAGAGAAACTGGCCAAACCCCCATCCCTGTCGGTCCAGCCTGGGGACGCCAGGCAGAGTCCACTCTCCACCCCTTCCCCAGGCAGCCTTTGCTTCGCCTGACCAGTGGGGACACCACTGGGTGCTGTACTGGGAGTTGGGGCCCTCTGGAATTCCTGGCCAACCCCAGCCTTTCAGGACTGTGGCTCACAGTCCCCCACTCCCCGCTCTCTGCCTGCCTGAGGGCTGGGAATTGCGGCTCCCGCAGCTCAGCTAAACACCGCAATTACTCCAGGGAAATTACTTGCGCCCTCCTCCAGTGCTCTGCCCACGCGCCGGGCTCCTCCCCGCTCTGCTCGAGGAGGTCCTAACCCACCTCCGGGACGCCGGGCCCGGCGCGTGGCACGTGGCGCCGGGGAGGGGGGGGTCCAGGCCTCAGACGGGGTGCCGGGGCGCGGGGGACACACTCACGCGGATGACGTAGCGTGAGGAATTCCTGTCGTCCAGGCTGACAGTGAGCGAGAAGAGCGCGGCCGCGCTGTACACGCCCTGCGCCTTGTACAGCAGCCGGTTGAGGTCCCAGCGCGCAGCCGCCCCGGGACGCTCGGCCGCACCACCCAGGTCCCAGCCGCCGCAGTCTTCGATGACCTCCAGCATGGGCCGCGGCCCGAGCCGCTCGATCTCACGCATATCCAGGCAGGAGCGGAAGAAGGCGCGCACCTTGCGCTGCGCCGCGCCGCCCGGGCCCCCGGTGGGCCGCGCAAGCAGGCGTCGCAGGCGCTCCTCGTTCTGCTCGCCGATGGCCGCGATAGTGCCGTAGGTGAGCTTGTCATCGGGGATGGCGTGGCGCCGCAGCCAGCCCCCGCACGCAAAGGAGTAGAAGTCCTGGCACGGGTCGATGCTGGCGTCCAGGTTGGCCGACAGGAAGCGGGCGGCGCGCGCGAAAGCCTTGCGCTCAGGGCAGCCCTCGGGGCAGGCGCCGCCACCCGCCCCGCCCGGGCCCAGGTACTTGAGCGCCAGCATGGCGGCCAGGATGGCACAGAGACCCGCGGCGAACACCAGCCCCGACAGCAGGCACACCTCACGCCGGTTCCAGCGCGGTAGCCCCGCTCCGGCCCCGCCGGCACCGCGCCCTGCGCCCCTCGGGAAGCCAGGAGGCAGCGAGGTCCCCCTGGAGCCCCCGGTGGCGCACCGGCTCACGTACTTGACCTCCTGGAACTCGTCGTAGTGGGCTGTCATGGAATACGGGGTCTCCATCGTGCAGAAGGCAGTGGTCCTGCAGTCCCTGTTTGCCCTGGTCAGCTATAGGATGCTTCTGTCCACCTGCGGTCCCTTTAGCGTCCACATGGCCCCTAGGCCACAGCTGCGGGAAGCCAAAAGGCAGGCTTAGAGGGGCGATGGAAACCTAAGGAGCCCAGAAACAGAGGATGGAAGCCAGCCGAAGGTCCACAACCAAAGCCTGCGCCTGGCCTCCCTGCCATCCCTGGAAGAAGGGAAGAGGAGGGCTCAGTGGCCACCAGTTTTGCATGAATGTTAGTCCTTTAACCTTCTCTACATGCTCGCTGCAGAATCGGGGAGGTCCCTGACAGAAAGCAAAAGAACGCCAGGGACAAGCACACAGTGGGGCTTCGTTGACAACCTGTTTCCCTTGCCTTGGCTTTTCTTACCCATCCTCTGCTGCAGCCAAGGCCAGGTGGGGGAGGGGAAAAGCAGAGGCTGGAGAAAGGAGGTGTGGTCAGGGGCTCCTCTCTGCAGACCCTGCAGCCTCCTCCAGCTCCCCGCACTAAAGAGCGATCAAACATCCAAACTTTGTCCTTGGGGAATTCTGCAGGATCGCTCCTAAGACAGCCTTTGACTGCGTCTTTTCAGTGGCCCAAATGCCCACCAACCCCTTCCCCAAAGGGCAGTCCTCCCCAGCCACCATGAGGGAGACCTTCTTCCTCCCCCGACGGTCCTGATGGAGAACTGGAGACTTGGTTCCTTCATCTGTCATCCATCCCAGCCCCGGACCACTCCCGGCTTCAACAGGTTCTCCCCAGAACCCAAAGTTGGGCGAAGTTACACCCCCTGTGCCATGCGAGTCCAGGGCTGGGAGCCTCCTGCGCCGCGCGACTCAGTCAACAGAGCAGGAGAGCCGAGTCTTGGAGCCGCAGCAGCAGCAGCAGCCACAGCTGGAGCCGGAGCCCGGAGCACGCAGACAAAGCCGGGCGGCCACGGTGACGGTGGCGCTGGCTGCCAGGGTGGCCTCGGGGCAGTGGACCCGAGCGGCACTTACCGGGCAGGTGCGCGTCAGGGACCTGCGAGGACCGAAGGGTCGGGAGCGAGTCCCGGCCTCAGCCGAGCGGAGCCCAGCGGCCGCTCTCTCGGTGCGCCTGCTGCCTCCTCTGCCGCGGCCCGGAACCCGACGCGCCGCGCCGCCCGCCGGCCCCGAGGGTGGGGGCGCGCCGGCGGCTCCACCCTCCTCCTCCCGCCTCCTGCACCCCCTCCTTCCTCCTGCTTCCCTCCCGGCTACCTGTCAGCTCCTCAGCAGCGCGGAGGTGGGCACGGCGGCCGCGGAGACTGGCTCCTGAGTGTCGAATACCAGCTTCAGAATCCAGGACTCCGGAGTCCAGCTCTGTCCCGGGAGGCGGGAGCGCAGCAGACGCGCCCGAGACTGGGGTCCCTTTAGGTGCGGTTCCTCCACTTGGAGCCACCTGCCAGTCTCTCCTGGGGGAAAAAGGCTGAAGCTGGAGATCCGCAGGAGCGCGGGCCGTCCCAGCAGAGCCCAGAAGAACAGCTCAGCCCAGGGAGGACTCTTGATGGTCTGGAGGGAAGAGCAGATGAAGAGCCTGAATCTGCCAGCACATTGCCTGGTGCTGAGAGACCTTCAGTATGGGGGCCTCCTTGCCCTCCTTTTAAGCCCTGCTCCTGTCAGCCCACATCTGGGGGCAACGCCCTTCACCTAGCCCCCCCCCCCTGGGGAGGGGCCTACCAAAAGAGGCTGATACTGAGACTGTTTCTCCTCAACCTTGGATCGTCCTGGCATCATTGCCAGCTGACCCAGGTAGGGACAAAGGCCGAGACAGAGGTGCTTGAAGCAGGGAGGAAGGGATCTTGCACCCTTTGCTCGGCACCCCAGCCTCATGGGATTTCACAGGGTGAATTTATCCAGACTTCCCCTTCTTCTAGTTGTGCTTCCCTTTTCTTAATGTGAAACCTCCCTCCAGCCAGGAGGCATAACCCACTTTTGCCTCTACTGTATCCACAGGATGAGGCCTTCATGTGACACAGAGAAGGGGCTTCTGGATGAGCAGTATGGTTTCTAGAATCTGCTTTCTCTGCCCTGCTCATCCCACATCTCCTATTGCCCCCCACAAAGCACCACAAGCAGCAGCAGCACTCCAGGCCAGGCTTGAAGCCCCAGCCTGAAACCAGGGCCTAGGCAGCATTTGAGACAGCTGTGAAGATCCCTTAGGATGGAATCCATGATGTGGTGGGACTGTAGAGATGGGCCCACAACCCTATCACCCTCCCTGTTCATCAGCCAGCTATGAGTCACTAGCCCTGAGTGGCCACCTCTGCCACTATCCTGCCTGTCTCATCTCTCCATCTCTCCATCTCTGAGTCTCACCCCCAGAGATGCCTCCCGCTCAAGCTGTCCTAGGGCCCTCCTCTGCCCCATGCATTCTTCTCAGGTTCAATTAATTCTACTGAAGAGAGACGGAATTACAGAAAAAAAAAAATGTGGTGGTTCCTCAAGGGGGATGGGAGGGCAGGGCCGTGCAGAGTGGCTCTTTGTGCTTTTAATCTGCATTTTCCCCTCAACATTCTGTCTCCAGGAGGATAATTTTCCAGCCTTTTCAGGCCCTGATTGGTATCATTTCTCCAGCAATGACAGCTTTTATTTTCCCGAAATGAACACCATGAAATTTCCAAGAAATATAAAAATGGATATTGTCTCAGGAAGCCGACTCTTCTGACAGCAAGGCACAGAGGCAAACATACTTCCCCAGGGACTCTCCACAGGAGGATGGGGGACCCTGCTTCAGTCCCTTCCCTGCCTCCTTCCTCCCAGGTCAGCCCTTAGACACCCCCCCCCCTTTCTGGTCAGCACTCCCACACTCAGTTGCCATTGATCCACTCATCTGCCTCCCAGTCAGGCTGCTTGGATGGCCCAGCCTGCCTTGTTCCAACCTGCTTGCCTGCCTGTTCTGTTCGGCATCTCATTCTTCACACCAAGCCCTGAGCACAATCAGGCCCAGCTGAAGCCGGTTTGGGATTAGGCCTTCTTACTACTCCATCCTGCAAACCCTGACATGGGTCCTGACCACTCCAACATGATCTGTGGTCAATCTGTTCATGGAAAGGGTCCGAAGACCCACCTCCTTTTTCTCTTCTATCCTCAGAAAAGGAAGATGAGGATGTGGTTGAGTGGGGCACTGGGGTCTGAAATCTCTCTCTCTCTCTCTCTCTCTCTCTCTCTCTCTCTCTCGCTTGCTCGCTCGCTCGCTCTCACTCTCATTCTCAGAGATCCTCTTCCAAATTGTCAAGGTGACCCCAGAACTGATGAATAGGAGAGTAACAAGGTACTGCTAAGTTTGCTAAGTTGAGCCAAGCCCCAAGGGAGGCCCTGGAGGCCCAGCTTGAGGAAAGGGGCAGTTGGCACCCAGAGAAGATCTGGGGGGGGGGCGTGCAAGGGACAGAAGGGAGGTATTTGGAAGCCAGTTTCGCCTCTACATGGGCCAAGAGCATATCCCAGCACTTTCCTGATGGGGCGTCACTGGGTCTCAGTTCTAGGGCAGGAGCACCCAGAATCTCCATCTCTGGCTGTCTTTGGAAGAGCAGAACTCACATTAAGGACTCACATCCATTGGGTATTCAAGGTGTTGTGTGCCTTGCCCTATGAGAGGGCTATAGCCTAAAGCCAGATTGGTCAGTCCAAGGCCTAGCTATGGTCAGATCTAGCTCAGCTCTGTACACTGTGCCCTGCCCCAATGTTTCAGTTCTCTCCCCCATCCAGCCAGTTCTCTGGCTTCCCAGCAGTTGTCTTCTAGGCCACAACCAGCTTCCTGCCCTCCGCCCAGCCTCCCTGGGCTCATCCATCTATTATTCACAGCACAAAATGGATTTTTAATTTGAGAAATGAAATGACTCTCCCTAGTGGCTGGTGTGGCAAGGAGGGGGGGAGGAAGGTCAGCTCTGAAAAGTGGCTGCACGGTGCTGGCTCTGCCTCTCCTTGGAAAAATGGGTGCCCACAGCAGGTGGGGGGCACAGGTGCATGTACCCCACCTACCACCAAGGCCCATGTCTCTACTCACACTACTGCAGTGATTGATTAGGTTAAAGGTACCCGTTGGTCCTGCCTGGGACCCTAGTGGGGTCTGGGGACAGCTGGAGCCTACTGTTTACTTGCTTTCAGAGTCCTGTGCCAAGCTCCCAGCTGATCTGTCACCTTTCCTGAAGTCCTGGTCTTCACTGCCTGCTCATATGGCCTCTCGGGGTTTATCCCACACAGAAATTCATGCACAAACTGGATTTTTAAAATTTTATTTATTTAGTTATTGCAACAAGATCTCACTAGGTCACTCCAGGTGGTGTGGAACTCCTGGGCTCCAATGATCCTCCTGCCTCAACTTCCTGAGTAGCCTGGGTCACAGGCATAGAATAGCACCATGACTGGCTATGAAAGGGCTTTTTAATTTGAAAAGTTAACTGTCTCTCCCTAATGACTGGGTAGCAAACAGGGACCAAGAAAGGCTGGAGTCTCCTCCCCCTGCCTTGTCTAGACCCCCAGTTGAGTTCCTCTGTGAAAACTTGACTCCTCAGTGTTCACTCCACAGCCTGTGCAGCTGTCCTGGCTTCTCCTCAGGACTCCAGTCCCCAAGCCCTCACAACTAAGCTTAGTCTCCTTAATGTGGTCGAGACAGCAGCCACTTTTTCTTCTCCTTGTTTTTGCCCGAATGTGTTTATGTTTGTGTGTACACACACGTGCTTCTATGTGTACATGTGCAGGTCAGAAATCAAGCTTGGGTGTCTTTCCTCAGGTGCATCCACCTGGTTTTTTGAGACAGGGTCTCTCATTGACCTGGAGTTCACCAAGTAGACTAGGCTGTCTGGCCGGCTAGTGAACCCCAGAGATCTGCCTGTCCCCACCTTCTCAGTTCTGGGATTACAAGTATAGGCCACGCCACTATACCCAGGTGTTTGTTTAGTTTTGTTTTATTGTTGCTGCTGTTGTTTGAGTCAGGGTCTTCCTGTAGTCCCAGCTGGCCTAGAACTCCCTATGTAAACCCAGTAAAACTAGCTCCAATCTTAGAGATTGCCTCTGTCTCCTGAGTGCTAAGAATAAACACATGTGATCCACGCCTGGCTTCTTTTTTAGCATGGGTTCTAGGACTCAAACTCTGGTCCTCACGCTTGCGTGGCAAGTACTTTACTGACCAAGCTAGCTCCCTAACCTGGCACTGGATACTTCTGTGTCCTCCTCTGCCCTTCCCAGTCTGTGTCCCTACCTCCCCCAACCTTCCTCTTCCCATTGTAACTCTGATTTAGTTCTATTTCCCAGAACACAGCTGGCTCTCTCACTCCTTGGGGCCTTAGTACTTGCTGCCTGGATCACCCTATCTCTGTCATCCCTTGAATAACTGCCAATCATCTTTCTGGATTTCTGAGTCACTTGGGTGTGGCCTCGTCAGGCCTTCAGTCTGTCCAGGTGCTGTCTCCATGAACCAAGGCCATGCCCTCCCTGGGTCCCCACTATACTATTCTTGCACAGAGCCCAGCACAGAGGACAGATCAGTACATGGGACTTCAGTGTAAACTATCCCTAAGCACCAGACCTTGACTAGTCACAGCATCTACCTACAAACCTGCCCTGGCTCTGACATCCCGAACATACCTGCCCACTGCTCTGAAACCCACCAGCCCACAAGAAGGGACTGCTTCCCTCCCCCACACTCTCATCCTCACTTTGCAAATTCCTCTGTACATATACACCCTTCTCCATGGTAACTTCCCAACCTCTAGATCAATGTTTTATTTTTCAATTAAAAATTTTATTACATTTGTGTGTGTGCCTGTGGAAGTCAGAAGACAACTTTCAGAAGTCGTTTCTCTCCTTCCATAATATGGGGCCTGGAGATCAAACTTGGGTCATCAGTCTTGGAGGCAAGCATCTTTACCTGCTGAGCCATCTTGCTGGCCCTATTTTTTTTTTTTTTGGTGTGTGTAAGAAAGAGAGAGAGGAGAAAGGAAAGGAGTAAGAGAGACTGAGAAAGAGAGAGAGACAGAGAGACAAAAAGAGAAAGAGGGAGAGACAGAGAGAGGGAGAGACAGGTACATGGATGTGGAGGCCAGAGATCAACCACTTTGATTTTTGAGACAGTCTTTTACCAGGATCTGGGGCTCAC